TACTTATGCACTGAAATAAATTGCCTATGGAAGTTGTAGACTCTCCATCATTTGAGATGCAGGTTAGACAATCACCTGTCAGGAATGATCAGATAATACATAGGCCTGCCATGGGTACAGTAGTCAGAACAAAATGACCTCTAAATCCCAGTCCTACTATTCTGACATCTAATTAGTGATCTGAGAGATCTATAGATCTCTGCAAATCCATTAATATCTGCAGCTCATGTTTGCAGATACAAATTTTGTGTCTAGAACCCTGCAAATTTGCCAATATCCGCTTTACCGATTCAAGCTTTATCTGGACTTGGGCATTCTTAGATTTATAAGAAGCTAAGCAGTGCATACTGACACTTTTGAGTCTGAAGTGGTAAAGGTGCAGGCTTCTTCATTCAACAGCATGCCATACCTGTTGATTATTATTGCTAAAGAAGGCATTGATCCACTCTGAGCAGGTGTTGAGGTGCTGTGTTACAAGTCACTATAACAAAAGGGGAGTTTGGGAACTATCAAGAAGGATCAGTAAAACAAAGCTAGAATAATACATCCTTTTTTTTTATAAGGTATAGGCAAAGAGCCTAGTCAGGAAAAATTAGGGATGGAAGATAGCAAGTTTTGTTCTAAGAAGTGCCTTGATTCCAGCTGCATGTTTGTTTATTCCTTATATTTCTGTACTTAGTAACATTAACATTTAAATGATCCTGACTAGCTTTTAAGTTAACACCTCACACCTCTTTGAGAAAATTAGACGGTTAAGGATGGGTCATGCTTTTGTTGCCATTGTTTGTTAGCTGGAGGCTATTTTCTGGGTGGCTAGATTAACAGTGCACTAAGCCATCATTTGTGTATTAATGGCAATTTCCCATCATTTTAAAAAGAGGGTGGCATCAAAAAGTGAGGCAGCCAGGTTTTCTTTTTTCTTTTCTTTTTATGTGGACTTCCTTGGAGTTCCCCTTGCAACATTCTTTTTAAACCAGGTACAAATCAGTTCTTAAAAAAGTAGGATTGTTATACTGGCCTGAGTGGATGGGGTGTAGTGTGTTGGAAACTTTTATTTTTTTGTCAGGGAGCAGGAACAACCATGTTGCCTGAGACACAGTTGAAAACCATTTCAGATTGGGGATAGATGCGTATGAAAGACATGTGGAAGGGAAAGGGTTTAAAAGAAAATGACTGGTATTCTGGATTTGTTTAGGATGTTAATCAAGTTATGTATTTGGTTAGATCTAAGGATGTGAAAGGTTAACCCGTTAACTGGTTGGGGCTGGAGCAGCTCCCCACTTGCTATGAACAGGGGCTGCTTCAGCGCTACAGAGAGCCCGCTAAGAAAGGGGTTGCTCTCATCTGAAGCAGCCCCTGTCTGAGGCTGGCCCTGGGCTCCCTGTTGACAGTGAGCCCAGACACCCTGCAGTCAGGGGTTGCTCCAGTGCAGGGCTGAGAGCCGGCAGCCTGTCCCTGTTTGGGTCGGGCATTGTAGCCTTGCAGGCTGGGGCTCCTGCAGCTGGGCTGGAGCAGTCCCCAGCTCAGATCCCGCTGTAGTCAGATAACTGGTTATACGTTACGTTACTTGATTAACTGGGATTTTACATCCCTCGTTAGGTCTACATTACGCTTTCTAATACTTTTGTAATTAAGGCCTTGTCTTCATTGGAAAAAAAAAAGTGTGTTGTTAACGTAAGGGAAAAGCCTGGTGAAAACAAGGCATTTTGTAGGTTTCACACAAATTATCTGGTCATGTAAAAGCTTATGAGGGCTTTACTTGAACACTCCAGCTCATGTGAAAACAACAAACTGCCTTGTCTTCACCAGGAGTTTCTCAAATTAGCTACATGTTGGTGTTTGCATAAGTGGCGACTTCACTGTTTCAGATCATTTTGGCACCCTGCCTGCCAAAATGTATTGGTGTATGTAGTCATAAGAGGGTGTTGGATTGGCAGACATGGAAATCAGAGTCCTCTATCTGCAAAACTGAGTACATCTTGAGTAACAGTACTGTCGTGCTCATGTGCGCTCAGTTCTGACCTTGTAGAATTTTATCACGTTACTTGAGGCAGGACATCAAGGAAAAAACATTTCGTGTTGCATGACATGTTTATGGTCTAGCCATGGAACAAATGTCTGTCTTTCTAAAATGGGCCCTTGGTGCTGTTTGCTACAACACACAAACCAAAGTGTTCCTGTTTAACTGTGCTTTTCTTTCTTCATGGAGAAAGTATTAAAATTGCCATATGATGACAAGATGAACTTTTAACTGGTACCATATATGAATCTTTCTTTGTATGGCTTTACTTAAGAAAACAAACAGGAATTGCTATTATTAACACAGGAATTGTTATTGACTAACACAGAAGGTGGACTCCTTTCATCAGAGGAGGTAAATGTGAGGAGAGAACAAATAAGCCTAATTTACGCAGAAAAATTATTATTGTGATAGTTGAAAGTATGGAATGGGCAACAATTTTTCCCAAGAAAACTGTGGTGAAAGACCAGGCATTTCATTAATAATTTACAATTTACCTTGCTCAGATTGGCTCACCAACCATCACAGCCAAGCTAACTAATTTGTCATTCAAGGTCAGTTCTTGACAACTCTTTCAGGACCTGTCACATTTTTCCATTGGGGCTGAAAATCTAAAGCCAACAGAAAATCTGCTTGCTCAACCCCATATTTCATGAGACTTAAATCCTTATGGTAACTCTTCTAATATCAAAATGAACGGTTGCCAATGAACTGTGTACTCTGTTTTGTGTCCAAATAGCCAAGTCACAAGAACAGTCATGGGATTTAATTTTCATGTATATGATGAAATCATCTTGTTGAGACAATGCAAGATGCTCTGAACAGTTTGCATTTCTTAGCAAGAAAGGAGAAGCTGTGGTCCAGTAATCATGTAGCTAGGAAAACAACTTTCAAAAACATTGCAGAGGTAAGTAAAGCCCTGTGCGGATACAGAATTGGTATCCACATTTGCATTGGCAGATATGATCTACAAATATTTGCAGATTTGCAGGGTTCTAGACACAGAATTTGTATTGGCGCCTGCATCTGTATCCACAAAAATGAGGCATGGATATCCACATCCATGGATATATAGTGGCTATTTGCTGATTTGCAGGGCTCTAGACATCAATGGTAGTGCCTTGCATGCCTCACTATTCTAGACATAAAGAGAAGGGAAAAAATTGGGTTATTGTGTCAGGCAGATCATTTTGAAAATACCTTTTCCTGATTGTCCTGTTTGGCAAGCACACCCAACAGTTCTCCATTGTTGTGTGCAACTGCACAACTGACCTTGCTGGCTACATGCTCTGAGTTGTGCTCCAGCTTGGAGTAGATAGGAGATATTGGATCTCCTGGGACTGTAGAGAGAAGAGGCTGTGCAAGCACTGCTACAGCCCAAAAGCACAGGTAGCTGTCATTCTGAATCTGTTGGGTCTAGTCATTGAATCTTTCCTTGGCGCTTTCAGGGTGACCAGCATATAACTTCATGAGCAAGGAGTAGGCTAGGTCTGCCATGTCCACTGTTGACATTCCAACATCACCAGTGGCAATCTGCTGGTTGCTACCTCACCGGCTATAATATAGATCCACTTAAAAACCACGTTTTAAAAGGTATTTAAAGGTCGTCTTAACTTGCTACAAAATGTAAAGTCCTACGAGCACAAGCATATTTCTGGATCTCGTGGCAGGAGCATTTGCCTTGAAGGTTTTCACATATCTCTGCAAAAGGATAATTTTATATCTAAATAACATTCCAATGAGTTTTCCAAAAGGTTACACTTAGGTCACTGGCATTTAACTACTTGTTTTTGGAGATGTTTCACAATAAAGTTAATCATCTGTAGCAGTTTTGTTTTGACTTTGCTATATTAGGCATAGATGTGGTTTCTTATTTACTGTCCCTTTAGAACTTTTCAAATTGAATATTGACAAAAAAGGTTCATGTGCTTTCTCGTCATTTTCTGATAAAACATATAAAGTTTATAACACTAGCTAAAAGCATGAGAGTTTGTGCTTATAAATGAGAACCCTGATTTGTGCTAGCAAACATACATTTGACCAGAGTACAAGTTGGCTCTGTATTGTTGAATGTGTTTTGATTGCAATGACTAATTTACTTTATATGCAATAAAGCTCAGTTTGGTTTACATATAAAGCAAAGTTGAGTTAGTACATTTGGCTGGGGAAAAATAGGTCGACCAATTTTGCTTTCTGTGTAAAAAGACAGTGTAACCGTCTTATAAAACATCTTTTTATAAGATTCAGCTGTGCTTTTGTTCAGCTCCATGGCAAAACTCTGTTGGCTTTGATAGGAGCAAGATTGGATCTTACGTCATTTAGCATTTCAAAGGAGAAAAACTGGATGACTTCTGTAAATGTTTATTTTAAAAGTGCCCAGATACTGAAACACTTAACAAAATCAAATATAAGTTGTAGAAATATGTACAATTGATGCAAGTTATCGTACTATTAAAATTTTCCTCTAGTTCCAAACCATTACAATAATACTTTTCTTAAAACTTCCCACCACTGATGCAAATCCACTGATGGGTGCAACGACAGAAGCTCTAGTATGGAATAGGTAGTGACGTTTTAACTGCTGTGGGCTAAATAATATTTTATAATGCAAGTGGCTGGCCTTACACTAATGCTACTTCCAGTGGACTATAATAGTGAGGCAATCTTCAGCAAAATACTAATGCAAACAAGGCATTTCTAAATATAAGACAGTGATCATGGAATTAGACTGTAGATGCATGTCTTCATACCACAAAGATGTCTCTCTTCATGCTGCCATGTAGGTATGACATTCAGGTATTAAGAACTAGATACATTGTTATCTTTAATACTATAATAATTTGTAAAGTAAAGCAATAAAAAGAAGTTACATAAATCAGTGTTTAAAAACTAAACACAGAGTTTGTTGCAACAAATCTTGATAATTTAGAATTCGTTCCTTTATTTCTTAAATTTTTTCCAATTGTTTTTCTTAATGTAGTTTGCTGGGACTTTATCAGATGGTTTGGGAAAGACGATGGATAACCGACATCAAACTGAACGAGAGTACATTCGATACCATGGTGCAACCAGTGGAGAACATTTCATAGCTGGGATCCATGGACTTGCTCATGGTAATTTGAGCATCTGTAGATTACATTATTGTAACATCAGTTGCTTTTTTTGTCATTGTGGTTCCAAAATGATAGGATTCAGAAAAAAAACGCTGTTCAATTTACACCACTCCACGCTGGCTAGTTAAATGTGGCTGAAGGTGATAGAGTAATTGGTGGCTTTCATTTTAATTTGATCGTGTTTTTAATTTTGGCAAATGCACCTAGATTTGAGAATAGGTCTTATTTAATTGTTCTACTGGAAATCGAAATTAAATTAAATTTTGGAAAGAGAGCAACAACATTTCTAATTTCCATATAAGTTAATAAATATACTTACAGTCAGTCTCTTTGTGAGTGACAAATAATAAGATAATATTCAGACAGTGGTAAAAATGAATGAATAAGTGTTATGTTTTTAGCTTCCCCTGCTTGCACTCAATTTCCCATGGACCTCAGGTTTTTTGCACAACTCGGGACTTAGACTGTCTATATTCAAAGTTGTATCTGTTCAACTTTCAGTTGTCTTAAAAAAACTGTTTATTTAAACTGGCACAGAAGACAATTTGATTGAGGTTAATGTCAGTATAGTTTGAGTCGATTCTCTGCTGAATTACACTTAATCAATGTAAGCCAGGTTTAAATCATTTGAATATTCACACTGTATTTTGTATCAGTTTAATTAAGTTTGTTTAAAATTGCACCTTCAGTAAACTGGTGCAATTTCAGATGCAGTTTGTATGATTACCAAAAAGTCTTGTACTTAGGGAAATTTACTCATTCCCCAATATTAGAATAAAATAGTTCTCTAGTTAGTTGAAGCCCCATCACTTGAGATAAATAATGACCCAAAAATGGGAAAGGTTAATTTCTGTAAGTTGTTTTCATATCTTAACTCTTGTAGTTAACTAAAGTGCAGGGATAAAAAAAGTTTTCAATAAAGTTCTAAATGGATCACATTTGGTTATTCCAGTTATAGAACATTCGTGTGTTCTAAAATAAGGTACAAATGATGTTGCAAATAACACGTGAAATCTGAAATATGATTAGGGTTAATGAAAAGTCACAAGCATTCATCATGCTATTTTATCAGTAAATTGGCTTCTTGATCTTGAATCTTTTTTGTTTTTAATGTTTCCAAATTTCCATTTCTTCAAAGAAGCAGTTAACTATTAAATTCTGTCTGTTGAATTTATAGTTTTCCCAAATTCTCGACTGTATCCCAAAGTTACCTAAATGAAATGATTAAATTTAGCATATCCTATGTTCTTCTCAACTCCAGAACTCATGCACCAACAATACTGTTCATACCTTCAACATCACTGTTTACTGTCTTCTGGCTATGGTGTAAAATCCTTGGGTCTGCACATCCTAAACTCTAAACTCTGGTCATCTGAAGAAGTGGGCTGTGCCCACGAAAGCTCATGATACCATCTACATGTTTTGTTAGTCTATAAAGTGCTACCAGACCATTTGTTGTTTTTTCCTATACAGACTATCTTGGCTACCCCCTGAAGCTACAGAAGAATAGTTATTTGTTGGACATTAACATTTTTCAAGAATGACGTGCCTGTCCCATTCATCCTTTTTTGTATTTCCAACTGAACATTGTATTTTTCATTTCCTGTCTTAAGCTGTAGTGTAATATTTTGTACTCTACTAAATCCTTGTCGCAGTTTGGAGGTAGTTTCACTTAAAAAGTAGACAGGAATGTGTAGCTTTGGGATACAATGTTTTGTGCAAATATAAGACTACTATGAGATTAATAACAAAACATCTATTCGTCATTGAAATTTTTAATAGGCTGTGTTTAGTGGATAGTATGTTTTCCTTCTATCAAGAACTTTCAGCAGAAGTAAATCATTTAACATTGTTAGCTGTAATAACATCCTGTTTTCTTTTTAGTGACAAAACTGTTGGCCCACTTAAAGAGTTTTTGTTATCTTTGTTAGGTATCATTGGTGGATTAACAAGTGTAATCACCTCGACAGTAGAAGGTGTCAAAACTGAAGGAGGAGTCAGTGGTTTCATATCAGGCCTTGGGAAAGGGCTGGTTGGCACAGTAACCAAACCAATGGCTGGCGCTCTAGATTTTGCTTCTGAGACGGCGCAGGCAGTGAGAGATACTGCAACTCTTAGTGGCCCCAGGTGAGTGAACACTTACATTCTAATCAATAAAATGTCTTCAAATCCATATCGCAGTGCCTTCTGCAATTTTAGAATTGATTAGTTTCTGAGCCTAAAGGAACTGTAATTTTGTAAAACCAGTTGTGTATTATTAGTTATACCTCAAGTTAATTTAAATTTGGCCTTGTGAACTAGTAAAATTGGTACAGAAAAGCTACAGTGTAAAATAGAAGATTCCAATTACTACATTATTTGAATAAATCAGGGGAAGAAACTTAAATATAATAAGAAATTGCCACCTTTGGCATCCAGATAGAGAATGAGACTAAACATTTTTTTTTTAAGCCTTCCATTAAAAATGTATAGGAAAACAGGACTTTCACACAAGTTGAAAAGTTAGACATCCTTTCAATTTTTCTTTTGAGAAATCAGTTTTTACTAAGAATATGTATGTATATTTGCGCATTTGCAGATGTTACTCCTGGGGGGAATTCTGTGCCAAAAAATTAAAAATTCCGGGCAAAATATTTTAAAATTTTACAGTAGGCATATTTTATTTGTCAAAAGAATACTATATAATCAAACCAGTTTCAATTGTTTTGGTACTTTATTTCAAAGTATCTGTTAACAAGTATGTCTGTAACAATAGACACAAGAAAAATCATTCTGCCAGAGAATTTAAGAAACCTCTGTGACAACCCAGTTCCTATTTCTCTGTTACACTGTTGCCGGGCACTTCAGTCTGGGCTTGTCACATGTGCCATGTCTTGGGGGAAAACTCTGACCCTTTGGTCTCAGACATCAGCAGCCATGGAGGCCAACCATGGGGTATCACCCCAGCCCAGATACCTGCAGCCGCTAACTCCAGAGCCCAGACACGGACAACCCCCAGCCCAGATACCCTCAACCCAAGAGCTCAGCTACATCTCCCCTAGCTTCTCTTTGCATATCAGGATTCTTCATTCTCCCCTTCTACCAGCAATTCTGTCTGCCATCAGCCATGCTCTCCATTCCTACTTTCTTCCCTAATCCAGGGACTCAGAGTGCACCCTGATTCCCCTCTGCTCCAAACCAGGGACTCTGTGGCTCACAATGTCTTACCCTACTGCCAAAGCAAGGGTTCTATGTTTGTGTGCCCTCCATTCTTTTCGCTCCATTCCAAGATTCTACCTTTACTCCAGGGGTGGCCAACCAGTTAGAGATGAAGAGCCAAAATAGCTGTGGATAGAGTGCGAAGAGCCACGTATTATATATTTATTTTTATATATCAATCGATAGATAGATAGATTACACAAAATGTAGTGATAAAAATAACATTACAGGACATTTCGGATAAAAACCAATAAAAAAGTCTCTAATCACTTAAAAAAATTCACAGCCAGGCTATAGATCTTCAGAGAACTTGATAAGGAACAAACATCAAATTAAAAAAAAAACTTTAAAAATACAGTAATATTCTCACACTAAAAAAAAAAAAAGCACCCCCACCATGTATTTAAAATTTAACACTACTGCTCTATTATGTCCTGTGAGTTTTTTAAAATTAAACTGAACTGAAAAGTAAATTAGCACAAGTGCCTGTTTCACTCCTCCCCCCCGCTCTAACCCAATGCCCTTGCCCTCCCCCAGAGCCAGGTATCTTCCTCCCTCCCCCTCCAATCCCTCCTCGGCTCTAACCCAATATCTGGGTCCTGGAGTCGCCGCCACACGCTTCTCCCTCCAGGCACTTGGGCGCGTGCGCATGGCGGCCAACCTTGAGCATTCTGGGCATGCGGCTCAGAACTACCAAGAGCTGTATTTCTTTAAGTAAAGAGTCGCGGGTTGGCCACCCCTGCTACTCCTTTGGCAGGGGCTGTGCATGCCCTCTGTTGTGCAGACACTAGGCCTTTCTCTGTGTGTTCTGTGGCTTGTATGTTAAGTTATATTAAACATGTTTAAGATAAATGAAATGTTGTTAAACCGATAAAAAATAAGCACGGCAAACCAAACGAGGAAAAGGGGAAAGAGCAGGAGAGTTCGAATGGACTGGAGCTAAGACAATAAACATTTTATTTCTGGTGGTTGTGGCATTCAGTTTCTTTGTGTTAATATTGTGCTGGGTTATTGTAGACCTTAGGAACTCGGTCTGTTGTGCAATATCCTGCACAACAAAAGGGTTAAAATCCAGGAATATTTATATTGGGATTTTTTTTTTCAGAATTTTTTTAGTCTTTCCATTTGTTTTTTACATTTCCTGTGTTTTATTATGCCACACTCAGAATCCTGATGTCTGCCATCACTATTTCAGTAAGGAACAATAAGCTTGATGAAGTGTGAGATAGATGCAGGAAATTCATAAGAATGCAAAACTAGACTTATTTTATTCTGAAAATAGGAAATGTTCCAAATGCACCAGCCTTTTCAACTGCTAATGAGTGAAATATAAATATAAAGAGAATTGACGTTAAGACTCAATTCAGTTAGCCCACCTTTTGTTGATAATGGCGAATATCGGTATAATAAGGTCGACATTTTACCTGCACCTGATGTAATAATAAATTCAAGCTATGATTAAATGAGTATGTTTGAGGGGATTGGAGCAGCTATATTTATATTCACTTGGGACTTTGTTCCATTTGAACAATTGAAATGTCAAGGATCATAAGTTTGGATAAGTAAAGAGGGTTTTAAAGAAAAGACATATGGAGTATGGTTGAAATCTTGGAATAAAGTATCTATCATGTAGAAGGTTAGGAAACATGAATGCAAAATAACTGATGTTATCCTAAATAGTTTCATTTAAAAACACTCTGGTTATACTGTACTTTTTTTTTTAAAGAAATTATTTTAAAGATTACACTGTTTTATTAGAATGTGTGTATCATGGTGCTCCCATTCATAAAATGAGTGTATTAAATTGAAGTAAAAACTGCATTCATGAATTTCTAACCTATTTACAGTATTACCAGTTGCATGACAGATTTGAAACTCAATAGCAAGTAAGAAAAGAGCAAGTTTTATCTGCCTGCCATATGCCTGTGTAGTGCAGTGCCCTCCTAGTGATGGCTGTTGACTGAGGACATTTCTATGAGTTGAACCAGAGCTAAACTGCCCTTGAATTTGGAATAACTTTTGTTTGCCATGAACCGAGGGCACTATGAGGTGATGTTCATTTTCATACAATTTTCAATCCTTGACAAATTAAAGAAAAAATATTCTTATTCTAGTTGCATAGTAAATAAGGCAACTAAATATAGTTCAGGACAAAAATGTGTCCAGTACATAGAAATCTTATACTGTTGCAACTATCTAGTGAAATCCTTTGACCTATAAAACCTTTCTTAAAGAGAAAAAATATTTCTAATAATTAATTTAGGAATCCTCTTTACATAGGTGTGGTTGTACTTGTTTTTCACCAAAAGATTTTAATTACAGATGTATAGATCTTACAAATTAAGAGGAATCCCACACCCCACTTTCTCTCTGATTCTTATATAATTACACAACTGAATTGTCCTTTGGACAGAGCCAATTTTGGTTGGCTATGTTCCTGGAGGTTTCATAACAAGACATAATTTTTAATTAAATATTAATCTTGAATTCCTGAAGATTCCCGGAGAATCCTAGAGGGTTGGCAACTTTACCTTTGGAGGATAGGAACAAGAACAATAAAGGATCTGGACTTGTTTTGACTGTTGTGTACCAATATCCCCCCCCTCCCCCCGTTGCATCTGCATTAACTGTTCAGCTATGTGTACTTTGGAATCAAAATGACATTGTGTTCTAAACTGAAAATGCTGGCTCTGGTTGCATTTTCTGCCATTCATGTGCTGTGTGAAGTAGACTGTTCTAAGTTAAGAAGTATACAGAAATAAAAATGCTCAAGATGATCTTATTAGTGTTGTTTAATCTTGCAAGGTATGAATTCAAGTAAGTTTACTGTCCTGGATGGACTCAGTGTGTGATTGATGCTATTCCTGTGCTGAGATCCCATTCTGTTGTCAGATACAGAGAAGAGAGCACACACGGCCAGATACTTAGAAAAATCCACTACTAAGTGGTGGAATCTCAGTAACTGATACTTAAGTGTATAAGGTGAATTGCTCTTATGGCTAAAGGAACATTTTTAACACTTCGATCTATTGTTACCTTTTGTAATGTAGGAGTGGGTAGTTATGTCTTCAGTATGCTTTTAGTGTAGTAGGGAATTTTCTGTCAGGTATGTCTGACAGTAAAGGAGGTTGCAGTTGGTACAAGTGCATGATCAAGAATAAAGCATTCTAATGTTTGTGGTATTGACAGATAAGGGAGCTGAGTTTCAGATTTGTTTGCAGAGCATTGTTATAGGGGTAGAATTAATATAGCCCTCTTCTTGTCCAAATTATTGCTACTGGTTATAAAAAGTCATTAGAATTCTTTTTGGACTCCTTGTGCCTCCCTTTTTTGGGTGTCATTCATGAATGCTTTGTGCAACCGAATTCCCATTTGGCAGAAAAGACTACCTCAACTCCAAACATAACCCTAATTTCAAGGCAGATGGGCTTTTGTTTGCAGATTTAAGAGAGAAATTTAAGAATTAAAATTTGCTATAATGGAAATGGCCACCTCCCAGTGGGTACTAGATTATTGGTTTATGATTGCTGCTTATGGCTACAAAATATTCTGAAAACCAACTGAAACTTACTGCAACCCTCATAAGTATAGCTAAGACTCCACTACAGGGGAAAAAAAAAAGTATTCCAATTGATGTCTTTTTCCTTCTGTTTGGCTGAACTCTGAATACTCTCTAATGCTCAGAAGCCTAAAACAACACATTACTCATTATAGTGCAGCTTATGTAAAGCTTTTACCAGTTCTTGAGAAATTAAAACAAGTATTTTTAATATAGTTATGAAAGTGCAAAATTAATTGTCTATTAGATTGATGGAAAAAGAATACACATTTCTTGGTCATGGAAGATTAATATCATTGCTAGAAATAAGACATACTTTTTTCCTTTTGCCATTTAGGCAATAAATTACCATGACTGATGTAACGGAAAC